GATAGATAGATAGATAGATAGATAGATAGATAGATAGATAGATAGATCATGTTAGAAAGAATGTTTTGAATAAACAAACATTTACCAAATACCATTGGAAACTATGGATACTTGGTATCCATAGTTCCTTTTTCTGTTTCTTTTTATCACATCCATCCAAACAGTTATCCGAGATAGAAATTATTTAAAATCAAATCATGAGCCACAAATAATCCAATATACTGACTCCTCTCAGGCTGCAGTAAGCAGGTATTATCAGCCAAGCCACGCTCCTTTAAACACACTGTCTTATCAGTGTTATGAAATAAACAGTGTGATCAGATCGCTCGAAGCTGTCATATGTGTATCCACTTTAACAAAATCCTGCAGTTTCCTCTGAACGTTACAGACGAAGGCTGTTAAATTGCCTTTGCCATTTGGGCTTGTTATACCCCTGTTTTATCCAAGTTCCTCTTCATTTCATCCTGGTTCCTCATAGCTTTTGGAAAATGTGCCCCCAACACAAATTGCAAATGAAACATAATTCCTTCCACCGTAAGGCATTACGTTTATCCCACACTTTTTCAAGCAATTTTACAAATAACAAAAGTAAAAATTTCCGTATGTATGTGAGAGACAGTTCATCTATATTGGAACTTTTTGGTCGTTCACTTGATTTGTTTGACATTTTAAGAATAAGTGTGAACTCTACTTTGCCCTTACACAGCCTAATTTTGCCAAAAGCAAAGAGGTTTCATCAAACATAAGTCTTTAAAAGCAAGACAATTGTTAAATAGTTTGACACATTCTCAGGGTGAGATCTAAGTTCCCCATATAGTTGTGGGAGGAGCTGTATGAAGCCTTCTGTGTTCTGTGCAATTCATTTCAAAAGTACAGTCGGACGTGCAAAATTATATTTGGCATCTACTCTTTTGAGCAACTGAAATCTCTAATTTTGTGGTTACTTTACACAGTTTTGTACAATTGCACAAAAGGTCAGCGGATCTTTCTGTGCGTACGCTGCTGTGTGAGCAGAAACCTCTCCTTCCTCAGACGGCTCCCACAGTGGGCACTGCACACCGCACCATAAGGTGGCAAACATGGCGTTTCATGCACTGGACGGTCCTGAGCACTTTGTGCTCGGCTTCATCTCTTTCAGCGTGGCAGCTCGGCTGTGTCTGTTCATTCATTGGTATTCAGGAACACACGGGTGACATTGTTGCACTCAGCAAAAACCTCAGTCTGGCACAACCGGCTACTTCTACGACATGTACATTGTTTGGATATCAACAAGCTTGTTGCTAAGGAACTCAGCCCCCTCCACCCCAAGTGTTCTAGCCTGTGAATCCACAGTTATTACGTCCAGGGTTGCGAAGCTGCTAGTGTGTGTGAGCGTGTGCTTTTAAATGCTGTTTGGCACGAGTATATGGGTATCAGTGGATTGCAGAATATTGTGCATTTTGGAATGGAGGACTTGATTTGATTGATCGAGCACACAATTTGGAAGCGGGTATTAACATTCCAGTGTTTTGAAGTTCAGGCCAAAGTTCTGTAAATAAAAGTAAAGCCACATCTGGACCGGTTTTGTATAAAATAGGGATTGTCTGTTGTTGTTGTCCAGCATCATGACTTGTCTAAAATCCATTTAGTTAATTTGCAAATTTCAGGAGAAAAAAAAAAAAGCTGGAGCTACAGTTCTTATATAAGCTATTTAAAGACAACAGCACATGTTGAGGAAATTCCACCCTTAGCCTACATTGACAAATAACACACCCAACCACACAGACACACAAACGCACTCACATTCAAAACAGTATTAGTGCCGTGGGGGTGGACCTCTGTCATCAAAGTGGGCTGTTGTTTGAGAGGAAGGGGAGTCTGTAGAGAGTGGCTGTGAATGAACTGGAAAGGTTCAGGGAGTTCATGGGCCAGTGAGGGTCTTGGTCATTGTCACTGTCACCGCGGGGTTTAAGGTCAGCTAGGCTCACAGGGGGAGGGCAAGTGAGAAGTGAGCAAAAGGAGGAAGAAGCAAAAGAACAACATGTGAGCATCGTGTGGAGGAAGCAGCGCAAACCACGAGAAGGTGAAAGCAAAAACGTGAACGCGTCTTTAATTCTTAAATCTGCAGACTCTGGACAGAAGCCGTTTGCGACATTTGGCACCTGCTTTCCATCAGAGAGCGGTTTCCCGTTAGCTGCATTTAGACACAGTTGCTTCAGTTGCGTTAAACAAACTACAAAACTTGTATTTACACTAATGGGCGATCATTTTCAGTTGACACGAGCCATCCATCCCATCCATCCAGCAGTTTTGGTCTGCATCTGTCGGGCTGCTTAGTGTCAGTCATGGTGGCGGGAGTTCAAAATAAACTATATATCAGGATAATGAACACACTGTAAAGTGCAATAAAGATCGCAATCCTGAAGCCATAAAAGGTAACTCAAGATTTACTCTGAGTTGGGTTTTAATTGGACCCTTAATGTAATGAATTGCATGTGTGGACTGGAGGCATCGCCTCTTCTCGACAACAAATGGAGGGTCGTTTTGGCAAGTCTGACGTCTCTGTAGTGAAAGCAATAAAATGTGCTCACAAGAGCTGACAAACAAAACAAATGGATGTATGTGGTTGCTTCACGTGAGAATAGTTATTTAACTTGTCTGCAGAACAGACCACACACACACACACATACACACACACTCTTACATTCATCAGACAATCAGTCAAGCATTCCCTGTGGTGGGAATGTGTTTTGTACAGAGAGTGTGAAAAAAGAATTTTTGGCAGGGGAGGCTTGAGGAAAATAGTTGGCAAAAAAAGATTAAATTGATAAATGAGTTTCCTTTAGCACTGTGGATATTTTTTTTCTTTTTTCAACAGGGCCCATAAATGTGCTTTTTCATCGGGTGCAACATGTTCCTTTGGCGACCTTTTCACTTAGGCTCCACTACACGCTTAACAAAAGTATTTCACATAATGTTTGAGGCGCTTGGGAAAGGCAATTATCAGACCCTTGACTGCCAAAATCCTTAACCTTCTTAACCCCTTTTTCAGTCTATCACTGACATTTCCTCAGTGGGCTTTTTGTTTAATGTCAACACAATTCAAATTAAACTGCAGTTGCAAAAGTGCCTGTTGTCCAAACCATTTTTGGTTACTTAGCTCTGTCAATCTTAAAATAACATTAGAAATACTAGAAAAATGTGTTACATCTACTTTTGATTAGGATCTCTTCGTTAGTAATACTTTGCCTTTGATGTTTCTTTTTTATTGATAACCAAATGTTTGTGTCCTATGCTGCATTTGATAGTGATCCACATGCAAATTAGAAAATTTGCAGCAATGCCATTCTCATGTGGACTTCTAAAAATAAAATGGCTGAAATAAAGTCAGCTGAGTAAGACTGCACATGGCTTTAAAATGTCTTAGTTCTGGTTTTCCTTTCCTGTCTACACAGTTTGGTATTAGCTTTTCAGATTTCTATCTTGATTTCTTCAGAAAAAAATATACCGTTTTCTTTTTCTTTTGTGGAGTTGATGTACTTTCTAAAATTTTGTATGAGTGGGCAGTTTACAACTGGTCTTGGCTGAAAGCAATCCAAGCGGTACATTTGAGTGTAGAGAGGCAGATGGAGAGCCTGGTGATGGAGAGGGAGGAAAGGAGAGAAGGGGGCGAAGGCAGGGGGAAAGGGAGAGAGTGCTAAGCGGGTGGGGGAAGGGCTGTTTGTGCATACCTCAAATTCCTTAGGTGTTATCAGCATTGCCCGCTCCATAATTGTTCCTTTCGAGGTGGGAGCGAAAAAGAAAAACAGAGAGACGGAGAGACTGTACCACACTGTAATGCTTCCTCTCTTGGGTTGGAGGTCATAAACAATTTATCAAGATCTTTGAATTCTAACGCTGACATTTTTGACTTCTTAACTCCGGCATTGCTGTAGAGCAGGCCTGGCTGGTTAAGAATGATGAGAATAAACTTTTTACAATTGAAAGGAGGACAGAAATTTGAAAAAAAACACCCGATGCAGGGAAATCCCAACTCTTTGGAGGACCACCCAACTTATTGTTTTTTCCAAACTTTCTTGTAAATTCCTCATCTTGAAATAAATATAAAACAACGCTTACATTCATGGTCTTATTAAAAATCCTTTAAAGTTATTATCTGTGTTTAAAGTACCTATTAATGTCAAATTTGAAAAACGTTTGTGTCACGATAATGCTTTATGGCTAATAAGGCCTTGGAAGTTTTAGCTGTTTCCCATCGATAACAATGATAAAGTAAGGACTTTTTTCCCCTCACAACGGCTGCATGCCTCTTACTGTCTTCCAGTTAAAAGGATCCATAGATGGGATGAACAATCAGATGCACACAGGGCATAATTCAAGGAATTTTGATTGATGAGGTAATCCATCTGGCTCCAAAGCAAAGGAGGGGAGAAGGACAGCACCAGCGAGAGGCAGAGCAGAAGTTGAATAATGATGTAGGTCTCCATCACACTGTACATCAGAGATCGGGTGCATGTGGAATGGATTTAAATAACAGTTTAATTAGTAGCTTGTTGAATCTTTAATTTGTTTTGTGTTCTGTTGGTTTGCTTGTACGCTGAGCGTCGTCTGTAGGCAGCACAGATCTGTTTCTGCACCCTCGACTTAAAATTGGCCTCCATCAGCTGCAGAAATCTGGGCGGAGGGGCATCAGTGGTCTTCCACTCGGGGATGAAAGAATGACACATACTTGCTCCAGTCATGACACAGACCAGATGATTGGTGTTTTCACTCACTCCTACAATAAAATGTCTCTGGAAAGTAACCCACCATCAGGGCAGAGGAGGCCTCTGTGCAGGAGGTTAACAGCCAGCAGCTCAACAACAATCAAGCACGGTTAGGCAAGAGGAGGAGTTTCTCAGCCTGTACAAGTAAATCCACTCAAATTCAGATTTTCTCTGTTGTTGAAATGATGGTCATAGTGCATTTAGGCAATAATTAAAATAGAAACGTTACAATGTTGACCTTTCCG